AAAAAAAAAAAAAAAAAAAAAAAACTCAAAACAAAACAAAACAAAAACAAAAACAAAACTCAAAACAAAACAAAACAAAACAAAAACAAAACTCAAAACAAAAACAAAACAAAAGGAAGATATTGAAGCAAAAGAGAAAGGAGCAAAAGTCACGGTTCCGGCACGTTGATCGCTAGCCTCCAAGCGCTCCTATCCACCGCTAAATCCTTGGAGATATTCCAATTTTTAAGGTCTCTCTGAACCGACTCTTCCCAAGTGAGTTTAGGCCGACCTCAACCTCTCTTAACAACATCGGCCCGCTGTAGAACTCCCCTACGCACCGGTGCATCAAGAGGCCTCCGTTGGACATGTCCGAACCACCACAGCCGATGTTGAACCAATTTCTCCTCAATTGGAGCCACCCCGACCCTATCTCGAATATCCTCATTTCGAATTCTATCCCTTCTTGTGTGCCCGCAAAACCAACGCAACATCCGCATCTCTGCTACACTTAGTTGTTGGACATGTTGTCTTTTTGTAGGCCAACATTCAGCACCGTATAGCATCGCCGGGCGAATCGCCGTCCTATAGAACTTACCTTTTAGCCTTTGTGGCATCCTCTTATCACAGAGAACACCAGAAGCTTGACGCCATTTCAGCCAACCGGCCGCAATTCTATGCCTAACATCTTCATCAATGCCGCCATCCTTTTGTAGCATCGATTCTAAATACCGGAAAGTCTCCTTTTTGGCTACCACTTGCCCGTCAAGGCTAATGTCACCATCATCATGAGTACTCATGCTGAAAGCGCACGTCATGTACTCGGTCTTCGTCCTACTAAGTCTGAAACCTTTCGACTCTAACGTGTCCTTCCACAGCTCTAACTTCCTATTTACCCCTGCCCTGCTCTCGTCAACTAGCACCACATCATCAGCAAAGAGCATACACCAAGGGATATCACCTTGTATGTCCCTTGTGGCCTCATCCATCACCAACGCAAATAAATAAGGGCTCAATGCTGACACCTGGTGTAGTCCTATTTTAATTGGGAAGTCTCTGGTATGGCCCCCACATGTTACACACGTCATCGCATCTTTGTACATATCCTTGATGAGAGTAATGTACTTAGATGGAACTTTGTGTTTTTCTAAGGCCAACCACATGACATTCCTCGGTACTACAGCATAAGCCTTCTCAAGGTCGATAAAGACCATGTGCAAGTCCTTCTTTTGGTCCCTATATCTCTCCATCAACTGTCGGATTAAGAAAATTGCTTCCATGGTCGACCTTCCGGGCATAAACCCAAATTGGGTTTATAAAATATTAAATATAAAAATTATATATAATTTATAATAATTTTATTTAACTTAAAATAATATTATTTAATCTATAAAATATTTAAATTAATATAATTTTATTTAATCTAAAAAATATTGTTTTATAATATTTTCTTTAATTCAAATAATATATTTACTTTATAAAAATATAAATTTAATTAATTAAATCGATAATTTAATGTATTTATCAAGACTTTTATTCACTTTGTTAAACATGAGACAATTTGTATCCAAAATCTGATGTGCCAAATTGGAGGGATTAATTTGTCCAATTCCATCATCTCTAATGGAATACTAGTTTTTTAAAAAAACAAAGAAACTAAAACACGTGGCAGTCATAGAGTGGTGCAGGCCAGCATAATTGACGTGGCGAAAACTATACATTGGTTTTCCATTTCCAGAGTGAGGAACAAAGTTGAAAGCCAAAACAAGTATTGGTGGCCGGCAATGCTTCACCGGAAAATCCAGCGTCTGAGCAGCGCTCTCCTGCTTTTCGCCCTTCTACCTCTCTCTACACTTGCGCGCCCTTTTGTTCTTGTTCTGTCCCAGGACGACCTGTCCGACGCAGCCGCCGCCGCCGCCGCTTCCAATCAACCCTCTCCGCCCGATGATGTTTCAGATTTCGACGACTTCCCCGAATCGGAGTCCAAATCCGATTCCATCCTCGACCCTGGCTCGTGGTCTCCTCTGTTCGAACCAGATCTAAATTCTCGAGACCCTAACCTTAGTGATAATGATGAGGTGATTTATTACAACGGGGTGAGGAGGATGGTGGAGGCAGCTGCTAAAGGAGAATTTAGGATTATGGAGGAGGCTGCGGCGGAGATCGAAGCCGCGGCCGCAGATGGACATCCGCACGGGCAGTCGGTGATGGGGCTTTTGTATAGTATGGGAATTGGAAGAGAGAGAAATGAGGGAAAAGCCTTTTTGCATCATCATTTTGCAGCGCAGGGTGGTAATATGCAGTCAAAGATGGCCTTGGCGTACACTTACTATCGTCAGGAAGTAAGCTCCTTTTCTTTTTATTTGTTTTGTGTTGGAGATTATTTTTCTTGAGATAGATAGCTTGGTCTTAACTTAGTCTAACAATTATGCTTCATGATTTACTGGTAGTCCATTCTAAAGTGATTAATTGTCTTTTATCTGTTGTGCTTGTGTGATTTGAAGACTGCTAAGACTAGTTAAGTGAAATATTCGTACATTTTGTCATTTGATGGAATATCATCGATGCTATTCTAATCTTCTAGATGACATAATTTGCTTCTAAGTTGTTCTATGTGCACAAAATTTTTTTCTTTTATGAGGTTTGTGGAAAATAATTTTCTTTTAATATTATTGAATTTTTGAGTCCCTGCGGGTTATATGTTCACAGTGTGTTAGAGTTATAGATTTGGGGGAAGGGTGCGGTCCCACAGGGTGAAGCGCATTATTGAAGTGTCTTTCTTGTGGAAAAAAAAAAAATATTTTGGAACAAGGTTAACAAGTTCTTTTGAAATAGCCTCTGAAGAATTAGGACTATTGGAGCAACAGAATAGATTTTACATTATATGTTGGAGGAATCTAGGACTGAATGATATGTTGACGTTTATTCCTATTGAAAAATTTTGTTATGTTTATCCATTTCTTTGTTGAGCAGATGCATGACAAAGCGGTGAAGTTGTATGCTGAATTGGCAGAGATAGCAGTGAATAGTTTTCTCATCTCGAAGGACTCGCCTGTGATTGAACCGATAAGAATCCACAGTGGTGCGGAGGAAAACAAGGAAGCTCTCAGGAAGTCCCGAGGAGAGGAGGATGAAGATTTCCAGATTCTGGAGTACCAGGCACAAAAAGGGAATGCAGGAGCTATGTATAAAATTGGTATATTTTACTATTTTGGCCTTAGAGGCGTGAGGCGTGATCATGCCAAGGCATTGAGGTGGTTCTCAAAGGCAGTAGAGAAAGGTGAGCCCAGGTCGATGGAACTTCTTGGAGAGATATATGCGAGAGGTGCGGGGGTTGAAAGGAACTACACTAAAGCTCTCGAATGGCTAACGCTTGCATCAAAACAACAGCTTTATTCTGCTTATAATGGCATGGGATATTTATATGTGAAGGGTTATGGAGTAGAGAAAAAGAACTACACCAAGGTAAATCTTCTATAGTGTTAGCTCGTATTTATTTATTTTTTTTTGTTTGCTGTCATATCGTCTTCTTCCTTTGCCATCTTCCATGCATCCATTTGTTGCTCTTTGTCTTCTATGTGCCATTGTAAAATTTTTCACCTCCCAGTAGCTTGTTTTCTCTATTATTTTGGTTGTTCTAGTCCTAAAACCTCATTGGAAGTGTTATGTATGACCCATTTGATAACTTCTCCTTAACAGGCAAAGGAGTATTTTGAGAAAGCTGCTGACAACGAAGAACCTGGTGGATTCTACAACCTTGGTGTGATGTATCTTAAGGGACTTGGACTAAAAAGGGACCTGAAAATAGCAACTAAGTACTTTGCGCTGGCCGCTAATGCAGGTCAGCCAAAAGCATTCTACCAATTAGCGAAGATGTTTCACACCGGTGTGGGGCTCAAGAAGAATCTTCCTATGGTAAGTTGTGTAACATTCTATTGTCCTCCATCTTCTCGTATTGATGAAATCTCTGAGTGATTAGACTATGATATGCATCTATTTGGCCCACACTCTATAAACGAATTTGGCTGAAAATGGTGTTCAATACATTGTCGTTATGCAGTGCCTTTTCCATGATATCTTTCATAAGTACTTGTCTTCTTTCTCAAAATATTATAGTTGGTGAATGAATTGTCCTTCTTTGCCCGTGTTCGCAATTAGGTTATTGACAATTTTGGACAGAAAAGGTAAGCGCAGTTGTGCATTTGCTGATCATTTTTGTGCAATGTATTCTAGGCAACAGCATTATATAAATTAGTTGCAGAGCGCGGTCCTTGGAGTTCCTTATCCAGATGGGCTCTGGAGTCGTATCTAAAAGGTGATATTGGCAAGGCTTTCCTTTTGTACTCAAGAATGGCAGAGATAGGATATGAGGTGGCACAAAGTAATGCGGCTTGGATTCTTGATAAATATGGGGAAAGTAGTATGTGCATGGGTGAATCAGGACTCTGTAAAGATGCTGAAAGGCATCAACGGGCGCATGCCTTGTGGTGGAAAGCTTCTGAGCAGGGTAATGAGCATGCTGCTTTGCTGATAGGGGATGCATATTACTATGGTCGGGTATGTTTATGACATCTACCATTATATATTTTCTTAAGGATGCGATTTTTTTATGTCTTTGTTCTGGTGATAGTTACCTTTAATTCTACACTTCTAAAGAGGTCACTGTTTGTGTCCTTTCTTCAACTCTAGCAGGGTACAGATCGGGATTATGATCGTGCAGCGGAAGCCTATATGCACGCAAAATCTCAGTCAAATGCTCAAGCAATGTTCAATCTGGGGTACATGCATGAGCATGGGCAAGGGCTACCACTGGATCTTCACCTTGCTAAGCGCTACTATGATCAAGCTTTGGAAGTTGATCCTGCTGCAAAGTTGCCAGTATCACTAGCTCTTGCCAGTCTGTGGATCAGAAGAAATTATGCCAACAGTTTCCTTGTGAGTATATGCTTTAGTGGTGCTTCACATATCCAATTTCTAGGTCTTTAGGTTCGATAACCAATGAAGAAAACTTTTCGAGAGGG